TCTTGTTTTGCATCCATTGATGGCACGAATACTTTACCCAGATCGCGGAAAGAAAAAGGTACTGGTTCTTGAAAGAACTCCCTCGGCCTGCAAATTTCCGCTAGTATCATTTTTGAAATTCATAGAACAAACAACTAAAAGTCTACCTTTTACATAGTAAATCTAAAGGGACCTCGATAATATCTGGTGTTCTAAAAACTGGAAAAGGCTCATCCTTTTTCCTAGAGATTGCGCCTATCTTTTGCAGAACACTCAAGGAAACTTTTCTTAAGGACTGTAATGCTGGTGATCTAAAATCAGTATATGATTCAAACCAGATACGATGCAAAGAGTAAAGAGGATTACTTGCTGCGGCTCTTTCTATGAGCTCGATGACGCTCGGCTTCCTCAGCTATCTCTTCCTTATCTAGACCAAGGGCCTGCAGACCAGCTTCGTCTAATTTGAGCACCTTGAAAAAAGGGATCGAAAAGGTTTATTTTGTAGGAAACCAACAGCAGAAACATATTACTATTTGAATACTTTTTGTCATTAAGTGTTACTTTTGCCTCATTTCCCTATTATTGCATTTCTTTTAAATTTTGTTTTGGTCTGCTGATGATTTCTCTTTTCCTTACCATCTCAAGTAAGGCGCCCCTCAAAGGTAATGGGTACAGTAAATGAAAGTTTAATATGTGAGGAACTTACATCATCTTTTCTACTTGTACTGGGAGATGTAGACTTCCTTTTGTCAGATCGCTCAGCGAGCATGTCCCAAGCGTTCGAGTCGGTCATCTTTCCATATGCTAATTTAAACTTTCTGAAAAGCCTTTCACATCAGTTTGCGAGCAGACTGTGGACACGCTTTCAACAAGCGCAAACTGCATTTTTGATGGCCTAGAACAGCCTGCATTAGTCTTTTATCGCAAAATTTCTCTAATATTGGCTTCATTTTGGTTGAAGAAAGCACTTTTGAGGATGAAACTCATTCCTTGCAGATATAGCAAAGTTTTGAAGTGTGCGTTGTAAAAATCCCAAAAAATTTGAAAATTTTTAAGGTTTATTGCTTATCAAAAACCAATTCATTATTTCTTTGTTTTTCTTTGGAAGCTCTAATTTAATAAACTGTCGAACCTTCTAGAATATATACGAGATTACTTTTTTCTCCATGTTTTTTTCCTTGTTTTGAAAACCTCTGCTGAGCAACCACTCTCTGCACTTTGCGCTTTGCGCATGCAGTAAAATAGATCTCAAAAACGAAAATGAAATCAAGGGCGAGTTAAATCAAACTTAGAGAAGATACATGACAATAAAATTTGAAAAGTTGTATCTCTCAGACCCATTGATGAGCCCA